TAATAATAATAATAATAATAATAAAAAACTCTCGGAAAAAAAAGCGAGAGGTCTGGAATTAAAAACATAAAAAGCAAACCTTTAGGAATTACCGGTAAAGTTCAGAGGAATACAGTTAATTTAACTGACCCTATTTTGGTAGTTTTCTTTAACCGTGTCTGGTCCAACAAAAAGTCTCCTTCGTCGTTCTCCGGTGCACTGAAACCGTCGAAGTCCTCCTCTTCAGTGTCGGAGTTAAACGAGCTGAGAAAAGCTGCGTCACACAGCGGTACCTGTTCAGTTTCTGTGTCGCTGTCCTCCCRGRCTGGCTCTGAAGCTGTGGTGTCCGCTTCACATAGCAGTCCAGACTTTCGGAACCCATTAGTGATGGTGGACTCTTCACTCTGCTCCACGCTGTTAGGATCCACTGGCAGACATCAGGAAATGTTGCTCTTTGCATTCGGCCAGTTTTTGTGAATGATTTATCCCCRTCAGTCAGCTGCTGGGAAAGCCCTCCCGCTCCAGCATACGTCACTGCATGGGATTCCTTCCCCGGGGAGTTTAATGCCGAAAAAAAGTCAGCAGCTCCTCACTCGATGTTTATCCACAAACTGGTCCTGGATTAAGCTCCAAAGTTTTTATCAGTCAGATTCCACCATGAAAAATATCTGTTTTATCCCCTTTTTATGAGTTTTTGGCCATTGACTATCTTTAAATTGCTGCTTCCTGGTCAACAGTCGGCTCTGGAAGGATCGCTTTTTTCGTATTTTTTTTCTTCTTTTTTTGAAGCGAGTGGTTGAAGCAAATGGAGCATAAGAGCCCCCTGGTGGCTGAAGAAAAAAATCCACGTATAAGCCGCACTGGACTATAAGCCGCATGGTTCAAAGTTCAGGAAAAAAGTCGCGGCTTATAGTCCGAAAAACATGGTACTTTTTTTTCTTCTGCACTTCGGCGCCCTCTCCAGCAGATGACGCTCTAGGCGACCGCCTAGTTCGCCTATGCCAAGAGCAGGCTCTGACCAGCTATGTAAATCTGCAGAGCTTTAATCAGGTCCAGGTCCAGTGGTGGTGATCCAGTCTTCACTACTGTATACAGGCTGTAGCTTGTAGACAGCCAGTGACAGGTAGGTCAACTGTTAAAAATGTAACTTCAACTTTGGGTCATTGTGCAAAATGATCAATGTTCCTGCTGTTTCCTGTCCAGGGTCCCAGACTCTGGACCAGTCATTGTCTAAAAATCAGGATGGTGAGCTCTTTAGTATTTTAAAACACAACCTATTTTAACGATGTTTTTGCATTTAACATTTGTTTTAGGTTTATTTTTACATTATTTTAAATTATTTGCATTGCTGTGTGTTTGCTTTTATTCTAATTTTATGATTCCTTGTTTTGTTTGTTTTTCTTATTGTATTTTCTTTTATGTAAAACACTTTATAACTTATTCATGATGATATTTACTGTCATTGTCTCACCTAGACAAGGTTGTAAATTATACACACCGGCCAAATTTATCATGTCAGCTGTGGCTTAAATAAACTTTTTGACATGTTGATCAGGTACTAAATTATTATTAACTATTTGACAAAAAAGCAGTGACCAAATAATCCCATTAAATGTATAATAGACGCTGACACTTAGGTTTCCAGACAGTCCAAACTTAATACTTTTACTACTACTGAAACCCACGCTGTTGTCTTGTTTAAACTTTGGAAATTTAACACCATGATTAAAAATGACCAGATTAAAATAAATAAATAAAAACTGACAGCAGAGTTTCAAAAAATCTAGTTTCGGTTTTTCAGAGAACAGAAATGTCTCCTGGTGGAGCGGCTAGGGGGGTTGTTCTGGAACTGGAAGGTTGCTGGTTCGATCCCCCATTCCAGCCATCTCTGTTGTTGTGTCCTTGGGCAAGACACTTCACCCACCTTGCCTACTGATGGTGGTCAGAGGGTCCGGTGGCGCCGATGTATGGCAGCCCCACCTCTGTCAGTGTGCCCCAGGGCAGCTGTGGCTACAATGTAGTTAGTGTGTGAATGTGAGTGTGAATGGGTGAATGTCTGTTAGTGTAAAGCGCTTTGGGGTCCGGAGGGACTTGAAAAGCGCTCTATAAGTTCAGTACCATTTACCATTTAGAACAACTGGCTCAAGTGTAGTCTCAGAGAAAAACACA